ACCTGGGCAAAGAGTCTAAACATGTCTAAACATAACATCATGACACCACACATCCAACTTGATGACATGACAAGTTCATTCATAAGTACAATTCCAAAGTCTGAGATCTTGGCACCACCTGACCATTGACCTTGCCTTATCCAAAGCAGTTGAAAATGTAATGTGCATGTTTGCTGACTCAATGCTGCTTGCAAATTAGTACAATTGATGCAGAGTGGACTTAAAGGCTCCCAAGGCTCCCACGAAACAGCTCTCCATCGACATGGGTCGTGGTCACAAAGTAGAAGCGGTGGTCACTCCGAACAATGTGATGGCCCATCTGCCAAGTCAGGTTCAAGCACACATGCAGTTTCAAGGTGTCTCAATCCTTTGCAAACTGACAAGTCTAGTAGAGCTCAAAAGGTGGGCCTCCAATCCCTCAGTGATCAAGCGGTTCATCAAAAGAATGGCCTGAAATATATGATGACTGTGGAGGAAGGCTTGACAACAGTCAAATGAAAACATGAGTGAACATACATAGCTTTCATGACTCTGCCTGGTCATCATCAGTGATGCCTCGCTGCTCCTTCTCGTGGTGGAACTTCTCCATCATGGTGCCATGCAAATCTCGGATGATCTCCCTTAGTAAATGATGTAGATGTGTTTGTGTTCATGAAGAAGTACTCTTATTGGTGATTCACACACAGGATCAACTCTCAATGAATGTTAAACCCAAGTGGCGTCAATGCTGGGACAGCCTGGACCCCCACGGAGTTCACCACCCACCCTTCGCCAGACTGCACGCATTCCACTGGGTCAATGTCGACCACCGCTGCAAGTTCCATGATGATGCCTGACACATACTGAATCCAAAGATCATGTCATGGAGACTTGCCCAATCAATGCCAAGACAAAACACAATTCAATAGTCACATGAATCAAGAGCAAGTTACCGACCTCTCCAATGTCCAATCAATCAAAGCCAAATCCAATGTCCTGAGATCAAAGTCAACGAGACAGGTTCAACCAACAATGCTTAGCTCAGTGCATCAAATAAACTGTCAAACATCAGTTGGACATGACACGAAATGAATTGCATCATAGTCACGGGCGATGTCCCAACCCAAGCTCAAGAAGAACAAAAGCAAAAGAGCCAAATGTTGCAGCCAACAGCAGGGCCAATTGAATCTGTCATGCGACAACACTTGCAAGTGCATATAATGAATCAGGTCTGAGAAGGGACAAGAGTATACTAAAGCCACATTGAGAATCCCGACATCAGGAGGCCATGAACACAGCGAAGAAGCCGCCACCCAACCTGAGACATCACAGTGCTTCATTACCATGACATGATATGCATGCACCATAACACAACACACTACTTCAAATAATAGAGGTATGCAATGATTCAATGAAAACTCCAAATTCCCAAATCTGAAATGAATGAAGTGCATGTCAATAGAGCGCATTTCAAATCTTTGAGGTCTAGGCGTCAAGCGGTCAAAGTTGAGGTCCACAACATCAGCACGTTCCGCATGGAAGATGACAGGGAACAATGACTGAAGTAACATTTAACCACATCAACATTGAGAAGTATTAGTGTATATTGGTGTGTTACCATTCACAGTGTGTCACATGTTAGAGTGGTAGAATGGTTCAGATTCCATTGGTAATATGCAACTTTCAAATGTACATGCAAAGTAGTCATTTGCTTGAGCAGTTTTGCTGAAACCTGTTTGTAATCAGGAACCAGTATTCATACAAACATAAAAGAATTACTCAGGATCTCCGTTTGAGTCCGCTTAAAGTGACAAAGATTCAAACATTATTTTGAAGGATCTCCGCTTTACATCCGCTTTAGTTGTTACACGCATTCAAAGAACGCACAAAGGATATCGAAGGATCACCGTTTGATCACCGCTTTATTCTTCATACAATGTTACCTCAATTTTTCTCAATGAAACCTATCCAATCTAGACCCCTCTGATCAGGACCTCTTCCACAACTTAAGGATTGGTTCTTCGCCTCCGCCCCAGCCCCCAGCATAGAGCTCATGGTCGAAGAAGGAGTCGTCAATGCCATAAAGTCTTGATGGAGTCCACCGTTGGTCGCGTGCTGCCGACACACTGACAAGCGATACGCGGTCTGCATTGGTCCTTGCGATCACGTCCGAGGCCTTCGTGAGCGCTCCAGACTCCAAAACAATTCGATCCAGCAACGCACCGCCCAATTCCTGGGCGCACCCCCACCACCTCCGCCACTGGCGTAGTGAGGATGCCACGTCCGACACGTTGCCAGTCACCTTCAGGTTGGTCAAAAGCCGAATCAAATTCAACCTCTCAGCTTGCCCCAGGTTGAAGCCGAACGAACAGGCCGAACAGCAGTTGTGCCGCGCTCAACTTGCGAGACGTCACGGCTTCCGAGCGGATCAATTCCGGAAGAGCTTGAAGGAGCACGCTGGTCATGCGTCATTCCGTTCGCGGCCATTTGATACCCGCTTTGGTGACTCCAGCAAGGGGTCCGCCGTCAACCACTGTACATAGATTTCCTTCACCTCCTTCAAGGTTTACAACCACTCGCCAGCACAGCGCTTGGCGTCCTCGAACCCTGCCCTGGTACACTACCTGGTCGATGGGATTGTCCCGGATGAAGTCCTCCATGTTCTTCTGGTCGTTCAGGTAGCGCAGGAAGTTGTGCGTGAATGCTGTTCCCCATGGCCATCCCCGGATAGGGACCTGCGAAAGCTCCAAGCGTGTTCGCTACCTGCACTCTCGCCTGCTGCAGCATCCCCGAAAACCTATAGGACCGTGAGGTAGGCCAAGATGAGGTGGAAGTAGTGACCCATAGCTTCCTGGCATTGGCGGCGCTGGAAGAAACAATGACGCCGGAGGTCCAGTCGCGTGCTCGGGCACCGGAAGCCTCAGGCTTTTTTTTGGGAGTTGCAGTCCGCTTCAAGGCGGGTGTAAGCGCGCGAGCTTGCTCCACGGCAATCATCTCGTCCAGCTGCTCATCGGCTGTCTTCGACGACGCAGCCGTGGTACCGGCAGCACGCCGACTCTTGCTCCCCTCTCTTGTGCGCTCCAAAGCTGCCATGGCGCGAGCTTCACAACGTTGGGCTCATAACCCACGTGACGCTGCCACCGCGTCTGTTCTCCTTAGGTCCTTGAGCCAAAAGCACGAGAGCCGCTTGTTCAGCAGTGTGGTTTGAATGTGCAAACTCATGTACACTTCTTGATTTGTGCGGTTCTTGGTTTTCCGCAGACAGAATCCGACCCGCCTTTCCTCAAGCTCAGAAGGACAATCATGCGCTCAACAGCATACCGAATCCCTTCAGTCACCCTCGACAGCCAGCGCCGCTCAAATCTGTCAAAAGATCGAAGTGCCTGCAGGATTGCGTGTATACACGGACTGTGTGCAAACCTCGGCTCTCCAGCCTGAAAACTCTTCGCCGAAGGCGGCGAACTTCCATATCCTGTATTGGTTTGTTCATGAATTGCGGATCGAACACCAGGAGGCAATGGAAAGTCGGGATCTTCGGGGTGACGGAACCTATCAGGTTTAGTGGGATCCCGGATCCACTGGTCACTGGTCGCAGCGAAGTACCGGTACTACCGGTACCGCATCACCACTGACAGCAGGTGAAACGGGCTCAGTAGAGACAAATGGGTTTTGAGCCAACTCTATTGTGTACTGTGTGTGCGTGTGTTTGATATGAAGGATCGATTGCGCAAAGCAAATAAACTCAATGTCGTGTCATGTTGTTTTAATCTGGGTTTGTCAAATCTGGGAAACCAGACGCTGGTGATTGCAGCAGCTCCGCGCTAGCCACTGCACTGCTGCAAAGAATGTCACTAGTTAGTCACTCTCTCAAATCCGAACACCATCAGGTAGCAATGTAACAATGGGCCATTATTGTGTGAGACTCACATACTATTGTTTCGTATTGACCGCCAAAACACGCCAGGAATGCCTGCAGTGCTTCATCAAGGCTGAGGCTTAGGGGGTGGTCGGTGGGATGGGAAGATTCTTAAGACTAACCCGCCCCCGACCCACCTTCGTTTTTCAACGACGCAGTGGTAGGCCCAGAGCAGCCTAAAAACATACGGATCATAACCTCAAAGACTACTGGTGGGACAAGAAGTCTGAGGAAGTATGCAGTAAGCATATACAGTAGGTCAGCGGCGCTTTTGTGGGACAAAAGTGGTTGGAAAGAGCGCCCATCATAACCATCACCACCGCCATCATGATTATGTATATACTGAAACAACCTCTCAGAAATCAAAAGCTTACACTTTTGAATTTGGAAATTCCTAAAAAGCAACCCTACTTGTTTAGACTAGTGGAGCCTTTTTGACACCTTTTTAAACAATTGTATTTTTCTATTTTTTCAAAATGAAAAGTAAGAAAAAACCACTTCTACCTAAGCTCCAAAAGACCAACCCACAGGGCTGTTCGCGCACTGGCTGAGGTATGGTATCGTATGGTATCGTATGGTACCGTACGGTATCGCATGGTTTCGTAGGGTATGGTATGATATGCTTTGTTTTGGTATGTCATGGATGTATGTATGTCAGTATGTATGTATGTATGTAAGTATGTTTTGACGTAATGTAATGTAATGTGATGTAGTTTGGTATGTATGTTTGTATGTATGTTTGTATGCAAGTAATGCAATGTAATGTAATGCAATGCAATGTAATGTAATGAATGTTATGTTATGTAATGTTGTGTTATGCAATGTTACGGTATGGTATGTGTGGTATGGTATGGTATGGTACGGTATGGTATGGTATGGTAAGGATGGTATGGTATGCTACGTTTTGGTATGTTATGGATGTAAGTATGTATGTATGTATGTATGTGCATATTTACTTACCTACGGACATGTATTCATCAATGAGTTGGCGCGTTCTTCAACTAGATTGGCGCAACTTCACAAATCACATGGATATTTCAACATGTGCTAGGTACAATTTGCGCATTTCCTTGCAGATCCTTGCTTGGTCAAATCACTGACCTAGGTGCTTGGTGAATTCTGATGGTGGGGGTGCAGAAGGTGCAGACACATTGCGGTGCGTCTTGCGCACGTGTCCTCAACTGAAGGACGCTTTAGCTCCATTCGACGGGTCTTTCACTTCGTTGGGCTTTTGCCTTGCATTCTCTAACATTCTTCAAATATTTTGGGTGCTTGTTGATGGTAGCCCAGGTAGTGTTGAAAGAGACAGGCAGATAGTGATTGACGTGCCAGATTGGTTGCATAAAGAATCCAACAACCCAGAAAACCACCCGGTTGGGTGGGATCTAAGCTGGTAGTCATGTTGATTTGTCAATTCAGGGACACTACTTCAGGAAACCAGCAGTGTGCTTTTTGATGTCTTATTGAAAAGTGAGCTTTTTGATGTCTTGTTTGAAAACACATATCATCCGTGAAGGTTGTGCCTCCACTGCTTTGGAAAAATGAAGGCAGCCTTATCAACCATCGTCGTGAACATTGGTTATGAACTCTTGGGCGAACTGTGGATGCGTGTTTCGCCACAGTTTAGTTCTTTTTTTTGCAGCGTAGACCCTTCATGTTCATCCATCTTCAGTCAAGTGCACCGTACACAAACGTGTCCTGAAAGCTTTTGATGCTTCTGTGCACCCACCGGATTTGCCGGTGGATCGACAAGCTGTGAGATTCACCGTGCCTCCCGGAGAGTTCGGGCCAAGAGACAGCAAGAACGCGACCAAGCCCTTCGATGAGGAAAGCTCACGTCCCTGGCGGCCACGACTTGGTGCGCAGCCTCCTGACCTACGTCAACGTGGTGCACAAGATGGTGGCTTCAACGAAAGCGGTGAGGGAGCTGAAGTACCGCTCACCAGCACTGATGGGCTATGCCGAGGCGCTGGTCGAGATGGACGCGACCTACATGGAGGACCTTCCTGAGTTGAACCTCGCCGGAGAGCGAGACATGCGCACTCTGGCTTGCGCCGTTGGCGCAGCCATGAACGACAAGGTCAGAAGCTCGGGATGCTCAGCCTATCAATGTGTGTTTGGCAAGAGCAAGTTTGAGGCGCTGCAGGCCATGGACCGCCTCAGCGAAGCGGTGCGTACTGCCATCCTTCGCAAGTCACACCCAGCGAAGGAACTATATCATCCAGGTGAACTGGTGGCCTTCTGTAGAGAGGCCAAATACCGTCAAGGCAAGAAAGGGCAGAAAGGGAAGCGCGTTCCAGCTTCCTGGTACAGAGGCACCATCATTGGACCTCACAAAGGCGACTCATCGGTCAAGCAAAGCAACTACTGGGTCGCTTCCGGAGGCCGCTGTGTTCTAGTTGCTCAAGACCAACTTCGACCGGCATTTGGAACAGGACTTTGGCCAGTACATGAGCACATCCTCCATTCCAGGAAAACCCTCCGGACAAGTACTATGACTTGAGGAGCAGTGATCTGCCCCCGGTTCTGGAGGACGATGAGATCAACGACGGCGAGGACCAGATTCCGCTCTTTCAGGATGATGATAGTGTCTTCAACGACCTCATCGACGAGTTCCCGGAAGAGTAGCAGGCGCAGATAAAAAACTAATCTGAACAACCTCTACCACCTCCAGAACCAGACGGAGCCGCTTCAACTGGTTCCGATCTGACAACCCTGGCGCCCGGTACTTCAACGAGGACTTGGAATGCCAGTGACAGGCATTCGTCCCGAGAAGAAACCCTAGCGCCTCCAAAGAGATTGAAGACCGCGCCAAGTGGATCACGAGCAAGCAATCCACAGCACCTGGAGAGCACAACGTGGTAAGTGGAAATGGCTTCCAGACCGTGCACTACTTCTACGACAACACCTTCGACCACGTCGAGCTCTATATGATCCTGGCCGTGTCAGAGCACTACCACTTCCCTTGGACGAATGGAGAACCAAGAGAGTGACTGGCTGGACCAAGTATGTGGAGAATTGGGTCTCCAACGTGGAGCCGAGGTCATGGGCAAAGTTTGGACTGGCGGGACCATCTTCTCCATCATTGACAAGAAGAGCCACGTCATGATGATCCACAACGTGCTGGAGATGCAGTCCGAGATCAGCCGCAAAGAGCGCAAGGCGCTCGAGAAGGAGCTTCCCTGGACCTGAAGACCAACGGGAGCTCTGCTGGCAGGCGCTGGTCAAAGAATGGACAACATGGCTTCGCTATGAGGGCGTTCGTGTGTTGAGTGCTCGGGTGTGCTACCGTGACAAGCACGCCGCAACGCCTTGGTTGGAGATCAAAAACCAAAGGCCCGCATTGTTTGCAGAGGAGACGCAGATCCGAACTTCGACGAGACGCTCCCACGATGACACGTCTCAGCCTCATGATCCTCCTACAACTGGCAGCTGCTCACAAGGGCTGGTTCATCATCTGCGCTGACATCACTGGCGCGTTCTTGCAGGGCGATCAGGCCCTAGCGAAGAGAAAAGAGCCTGTGTTTGTGAGGCAGCCAAAGGAAGGACTACCAGGACTACATCCTGGACAGTTGCTTTTAGTTGTTAGGGGCATCTTTGGTTTGGCAAACTCACCACGCCTCTTTTGGCGGCACCTGTGGGACTCCATGGTCAAGTTGGGCTTCGCGCAGTCGACGCTCGACAAGGCCGTCTTCCTCTTCTACCAGGACAAGCGACAGTCGGCGCACACGTGGACGACCTTCTATGTGTGGGCGAACCTGGAGTTGGAGACAAAGTCCTCGAACGTCTTCGAGCCCAGTTCGACTTCGGTGAGTGGAAGGACGTCAGAGAGGAGCCAACTTTGATCTACGGCGGCAAGGAGATTTCCAAGAAGGGCGACGTCATCGCCCTGTCGCAAGAAGCTTTCATCAGGGCCTTGACATTGACACCTGTGCCGAAGTGGAGGACCATTATGAAGGACAAGGCACTCAACGCCCAGGAGTCCACCGAGCTCAAGAGGTGGAGGCTGCTTGCGTTGGCTTGTGGGGCAGACACGTCCCAACCTGGCCGCAGGAACATCCTTGAACATGGGTGGAAATCCTACCATCCTTGCCATCAACAACCTCCTGGGAGAGGCATTGAAATCAAAGGATTGGGCACTCCAATTCCGGCCACTGGACTTGACGAAAGCCCGCGTCATCTGCTTCAGCGATGCATCACGGGCGAACACGGAGTCTTCACCTTGGCCGGCGATGTGGCGAACCTGGTGGAATGGAGGTCACATAAAGAATCCGTCGCAAGTGCAGATCAACGCTTGCTGCGGAGACCATGGGATTGGACGCTGCCACAGATGCAGTGCTGTTCACGAGGGAGCTGCTGGCCGAGATGCTCATCGAGAGCTACCAGCCGACTAAAGGGCAGATTGGCGCCCGAGATTTTTCCAGCAGCCACTGCCACAGATTGCCGCTCGCTCTACGACGCGCCTGACTTTGGACATTGGCGCATTGCGAGAAGCGGCTGAGGAGTTGGAGCCCTCAGGAGAGAACGTCAATTAAGGACGTCTACAAGTGGGTCTCGACACACGTCGAACGTGCCGACCACTTGACCAAGATCAAGCCCCAGCACGAGCTGAGGAAGATCCTTGACGAAGGGCACCTTTCCATGGTGCCGGCTGAAGCGACTCCATCGACGACTTTGACATGCAGTCGCGGAGTCCATAGCACTGTACAGAACCTGAAAAGCACTTGTTCGTCTTGTTAAAGAAAGACCAGTGCAAGTTTGGCACATGTTCATGTCGTTCGAACCTCACGACCCTGTGACCGCAGGGCCCTTGAGCGTTGCTCGAAAAGACGCGGACTGTGCCGCGCATGATCCCCTAGCGTGTGAACCCGCTATCTTGCGCTTGTATGTTGCTTGTGTGCAGGTTCACTTAAACATTTTTGCGCTAGAGTCCACAAATTGGAAGACTGCACTTCAGATTTGAGCCTGTTGGCATCTAGAGGTTGAAAGATTACACTTGCGATTTGAGTGCAGTTCCATGCTGAACTTGAAACCGTGCTTTGTTGGAAGTCTCAGCAGTTGGTATATTTGATGATTGGGTCTTGCGTGCTTTTGCGTGGCAGACCCTGTAGGAATGCTGCTTCACAGGAAGCTTCACATGTGCGTGTAGAAGACGAAGGTCAGCCAGACACTTGAGAGGACTCAGGTGACGAAGAGGCTTCAGATGTTCGAGTAGAGGATGAAGGCGAGCCCGTGGCACACATGGCAACAAAAAGTGTGCGACCAGGAAACAGTGGGAGGCTTTTGCTACGGAGACTATATATCCCCAGACAAGTCTCTTCGATGGCTGCAGAAATTCATAAGCCGTTCACCACGAGCAGTAACAAGTTGAAGGCTTGCTTGCTGGCTCGCTGTGGCGAAACACGGAAAACTATTCATGAAGCGCTTTGGCACTAGCAGCGGCAAGAAGGACAGGCTGACGTGTCCTGAAAGAGGATGCTGAGATCATGCGGAACGGGCAAAGTTGTGGGCTTGCTTGAAGGAAATGGGCCTAGCACGTTGTGACACACTGGACACTGCCAATTTGTCAGTGTTTGCTTTACAGCTGGATCCCCAGTGGACCCAGCGGACTTCCGATCCCAATTTTCTCCGACCTACCGGAGATGTTTCCTGACAAAGTTGCGACCCACTTTGTCAGTTTTGAGCAGTGTCTGCAGAGGCATGTCCACGCGTGGAACTTCGGGTCACGAGCAGCTGCGTGTTTATTGCTCCAGCCAATCCTTGCATTTTTTGATTTTAGCGCCGAGTCTGAACGCCGCTCCTCCCACCACAATTTCCCGCGGGGGCAGGGACTAGTAATCTGCCATTGAGGTCAACTATTTCGATACTACAGCTCCCCTGGCCAACGGCCACGCGGAACTAAAGTATGCCCTGCACAAATGACCTTCGTAGACTTGGAAGTCGTACAAGATGCAAATTCAACAAGTTACATATCTGCCCGGCGGTGAGCCCCAAAAACAGAACCTAGCGTAGCCCAGTTTTGGAAGAGGCTCAATCTTGATTCCAGCCACACCCCCCGCCCGCTGAAGGTCGTTATAAAGTTTGGTTCAAAAGAATGTACGTCTTTTGGCCTCTATGCGGCATGGTTTCATGAGAAGAACCGAGCGTCTCGAAGACCTTTTTCCTTCTTGCTTCAGTTGGTCCAGTTGGTCTTTGTGCTGGCCCGGCGGTACCATGTGGTACCTGAGGCCTTTTGGTAAGAGACTGAGAGACACTGCCAAGAGACAATTACAAAAGACACTGGTCAGACACCGTCAACATACTAATGCTTCAGCGCGAACATTTCCTAATCTTGCATGGTTTCATGGCCCCGGCCCGGAGGGCTCGAGATGGCCTGTAGCCAATCTCAGAACCCCAGTGGGGAAAATCCCACGTCCGCCATGAGCCGCCATGGCTTGGGTGTTATAGTTGCCAGCGGTTGACTTCTCACAGCTTGACGGGACATGTATATGGGTGCGCCAGCTTTCCAAGCCGGGCGTGTGGTCTTGTGTGGTTCAAGGATGGCCTCCACCAGACGAAGATCTCGGGCTGTGCAACTTAGAGCCACGGATTCGTGGAGATATGCGGTGGTGCTTTGATAGCTTTCTGCAGAAGTCTTTGACGAAAGTATGAGCTTCGCCTGTGTGCCGTGATAGCTTTCACCATGTGGCGTGGTGGTTTGGGGCCATTAATTTTTGGTGAATGCAGTGCAAGCGAGGACCCGATTGAATTTGTCCTTTGATTTGTCGTGAGAGTAGGTAGCTGCATCGATTGACAGCTGGATCAGACTGTATAGTAGACAGACATTTGTTTCCCACGTCCTTTTATGTTTTGTTATCCCGCGTCCGAGAAGTGGGGTAAAGTCGCCCTCCTGTCAAGAACCTGAAGCATTTTGTAGGGCTCCTTTGCGATAATCAGGCACCCTCGAAATTGCAAAAGGCTTGTGCAGTGTCACCTGTGCAGTTGCAAGAATTCGTTATTAAGTGCACGTGCAGTCACAGGCACTGCCGTCGGCTATCGCAAAAGGAAAGGCCCCGGCCCGGCCTGGGCAAAAACCGTGCATCAATGCTCAGCAAAACTCTGACCCAAAACGCTTCCAACACTAGAATAAACATTAGCGAATCTTAGCGCCCAAAACCCTCATGAACATCGTCAAAAACGCAAAGCAAAGCCCCCAACAAAGGCTGCTGTACAACCTTGTTCCTCATCCAATGTCAATACTGGCCCACCGCACCCTTCCACCCGTTTACATGAAACAACATCGTTTTGGCGTATTAGATGAGAGTGCATGTGCAAAAAAGGGTTCCCCAAAATGTCCGAAGTGCAGTGGAACTTCGATAAATGTGCAAAAGAGGCGAAGATGACCCATGTTGAACAAATCGGCCAAATACATTCTCCAAATCACAGCTATCTGCTGTGCGGGGCTGCGTGTTAGGTCTTCACTCATTTTGTAGCACGTCGAATTGCACAAACGACGATCACGATGAACTGTTCAACAATATGCACGCTTACGAACACGATTTTCCCGAGCAGGCAACAAACAATGGTTCAGCGTACAGCATGTCACGAAAGCTAGCACGCTAGCTGAGTTCTTCTTTGCTTTAGCAAT